AGCTAAAGCTATAAAATGATAGCTAAAAGTAGCTATAGGCTAAGATTAAGCTAAAGCTATAAAATGATAGCTAAAAGTAGCTATAGACTAAAATTAAGCTAAAGCAATTAAAGGATAACTAAAAGTAGCTATAGACTAACATTAAGCTAAAGCTATAAAATGATAGCTAAAAGTAGCTATAGGCTAAGATTAAGCTAAAGCAATTAAAGGATAGCTAAAAGCAGCTATATGCTAAAATTAAGCTAAAGCAATTAAAGGATAGCTAAAAGTAGCTATAGACTAACATTAAGCTAAAGCTATAAAATGATAGCTAAAAGTAGCTATAGGCTAAGATTAAGCTAAAGCAATTAAAGGATAGCTAAAAGCAGCTATATGCTAAACTTACGCTAAAGCAATTAAAGGATAGCTAAAAGTAGCTATAGGCTAAAATTAAGCTAAAGCAATTAAAGGATAGCTAAAAGTAGCTATAGGCTAAAATTAAGCTAAAGCAATTAAAGGATAGCTAAAAGTAGCTATAGGCTAAAATTAAGCTAAAGCTATAAAAGGATAGCTAAATGCAAAATATGAACTAAAAGTGTCAAAAGTTTAAGCTGAAAGTAGACAAAGCCTGACCAATAGCTAAAAGTAGCTAAAAGTGGCTATAGGTGCAGCTGAAGTTGAGTTTCTGCCTCAGACTCAGCGGAGCTTCCGTCTCCTCCTCAGGGAGTGACAGTGTTTTATCGTCATGGTAACCGCCACCTTCTGTTTGCCTTCCAGATGCGTTCGGCTTCACACCGAACATCAGCCTGTCTCTTCCTCTGGGGACCCCCTGCCTCCCCTCCCAGTACCACAGCCTCCAGTCCAGTCCCACGGTCTCGGTCTCGGAGCCCCCGGTCTTTGAGTCCCCAGACGACCCGAGAGTGGCGGGTTTTTATCCTGGACTCCGGCCCAACGGAGCCCCGACCCTGGAGAGTCCTCGCATCGAGATCACGGCCTACGGTCAGTTCCCGGAGGAGGAGGTGGAGGGGAACAGCCACCCGGTGGCCAAGCGGGTCAACTCCGTCATGACCCTGACCCTGCCCAGCGCCGACGGGTACCGTGACCCGAGCTGCCTGAGCCCGGCCAGCAGCGTGTCGTCCCGCAGCGGTCTGTCCGACGCCTCCTACGAGTCCAGCTTCTCCTACAACTACGACAACTCGTCCCAGAACTCGCCCTGGCAGTCCCCCTCTGTGTCGCCCAAAGGCTCCACCCTCGCCCTGCCGGGTGAGGGCGCAGCCTCCGGCGGATCCCCTCGCCACTCCCCCTCCACCTCTCCTCGAACGAGCGTGACGGACGACACCTGGCTGGGGCCCCGGGGGTCCAGGCCAAGCTCCCCCTGCRGAGCCAAGAGGAAGTACAGCTTGAACGGCAGTGAGGTGTCTCACAAGAGCTTCCCCTACTCCCCCACCCACTCCCCCGGCCTGTCCCCMCAGACCTCCCCCCGCCTCAGCGTGACCGAGGAGAGCTGGCTGCCCAACACCAACCAGTACACCAACTCCGCCATCCTGGCAGCCATCAACGCCCTGACCACCGACGGAGACCTGGGGGAGGGCATCCCCATCAAGGCCCGGAAGACCAGCCTGGACCACAGCCCCACGGTGAGCCTGAAGGTGGAGCCTGGAGGCCAGGACCTGAGTCCAGGTGACCTCTGCCAGGACGAGCTCTCTGCAAACAGACTGGCCCTGAAGAAGGAGGGCTTCTGTGGGGGCTTCCTGGATGTTCCACAACACCCGTACTCCTGGTCCAAACCCAAACCCTACATCAGGTGAGGACCCTCCACACAAAACTACTTCCTGTTTGTATTTCAACTTCACAACACAACTTCCTGTTTGTGTTTAAACTAAAGATAAACTACTTCCTGTTTGTGTTTAAACTAAAGATAAACTACTTCCTGTTTGTGTTTAAACTTCACAACACAACTTCCTGTTTGTGTTTAAACTAAAGATAAACTACTTCCTGTTTGTTTTTAAACTACACAACACAACTTCCTGTTTGTGTTAAAACTACGAATAAACAACTTCCTGTTTGTGTTAAAACTACGAATAAACAACTTCCTGTTTGTGTTTAAACTACACTAAACAACTTCCTGTTTGTGTTTAAACTACACTAAAATACTTCCTGTTTGTGTTTAAACTTCACAACACAATTTCCTGTTTGTTTAAACTTCACAACACAATTTCCTGTTTGTGTTAAAACTACGAATAAACAACTTCCTGTTTGTGTTAAAACTACGAATAAACAACTTCCTGTTTGTGTTTAAACTATACTAAGCAACTTCCTGTTTGTGTTTAAACTTCACAACACAACTTCCTGTTTGTGTTTAAACTTCACAACACTATTTCCTGTTTGTGTTTAAACTTCACAACACAATTTCCTGTTTGTTTTTAAATTACACAACACAACTTCCTGTTTGTGTTTAAACTACGAATAAACAACTTCCTGTTTGTGTTAAAACTACGAATAAACAACTTCCTGTTTGTGTTAAAACTACGAATAAACAACTTCCTGTTTGTGTTAAACTACA